CCAACCTTTCCAGATATCTGAACCTGAGTTTTGTCTGGAAGTTGCAAACGTCAAGCGACCGCAAGGCAAGAAATCAAGTCCAGCAGCACCTCGTAGATCCTACTTGCCAACCAGAGCCCCGAAGACACCGCCGGTTGCAAGCCACACAGCCAGCTCCAGCGACACTTCGCGCAAACCTCGTAACACCACCTCGACGCAAAGATCCTCTTGGACCAAAGGAGCCTTGTGATGCCCTAAGCCCTACTGTAGGAGGAGGAGGCCCGAGGTTCCTCAGAAGGCACCAGAACAACCAAGCCGCTGAGCAATCGCAAAGTCGGAGTTGTTCACTGCCTGTCGGCCTGATTTTGAGGATTCTTCACGGTCGTGATTCGTGAAAACGGCCCTGCTGTGGCTTTCAGACTTTTTCACGCAGCTGCAAAAGATATGCCAGTCGAGTTGGAGCTCAAGGTCTGGATGATGTCACTTCAAGAGTTGATGTGCACGTCCACATGCCCCACCTTCTTTGCCGGCAATGCCAATGCCAACCTGCGCTGTTTGGATCATCGGCACCTCCGATTAGGCAGGTTGCAATGCTGCATCAGCGGCGTTGACTTATATGTCTTGCAGGAACTCCAAAATCTCTGTATACTCGCTTGCTCGACCAGTTTTCACAGCTCCCTTCGAAGCACAAAAGAAACGCCAATTGCCAAAGGCTCTATCTTCAAAACAACCTCCAACAAGCAAAGGCACGTCGTTGGCGCCGTCGCCAATGGCTAACGTTACAGGCGTGGGCTTTACCTCATCGCGGATGAACTGCACGAGCTCTGCCTGCCGTCCCACGGTGACTAGTGCGCAGTGCCAAGTTAAGAAGTGATACCTTCTCGCACCCTCAAGCCATCAACACTTCTTGGCTCGCCTCCGTGCATGTCCTGAAAACCATGCTGCATGGCCTTCTGCGAGGGGCTTACCCGGCAAGCAATCAGCACAGCACAGCCTCGCACCAAAGCGTCGTCCCGGGGTCACTTGTGCCAACAAGCTTATGCTTCGGGGTATTTTGGCTGTCAAGTTTAGACAGGGTTTAGCAGATCTAGCAGCTTCGCAGCTGGAGGCACGAGGCAGGACAGACCAAAGCCCAAGCTTGGCTTACCGAGCGCTACGCGACTCTGCTATTCCGAATCCTCATGGCTTCAGCAGGCTGTCTTGGGAAAACGCAGCTGCGCGGCTTGTGGAGACCCGCTTGAACATGTCCTGCCACGGAAGCTGCAAGGATACACCGCCGACGTGTAAGGCCCACAACTGTCTAACGGCATTGCGAAATGCTGGTCAGCGATCGGCATTCCTAAAGCCCAAAACATCGAACATCGGACATCATGGCAGACAGATAGTCAGACAGTAACCCACCATGTGCAAAGAAGGTTGGGGATGCGTGGACTTACCAAACTGCCTGGACATTCCAAGATTTGATATTCTGACGGGTTTGTGGTGCTTATGGTGCTCTGCTCCGTCCAAGGTTGCAATGCAAGTCCGCGCTCCTTGAGATCACCTGAGACAAAGTCCGAGTCAGTTCCAGGGATCTGAGAAGACTGCGGGTCTCAGCCTTAGCAGCCTCTGGGATTTTGGGATCGATCAGGGTGTTTTCCGCTCCCTTCGTCGAACTCCAGATCCGAATGCCCCAGGGCCTCAACTTCTCTCAAGGCAACTTAGGGACGTTCCCAGATCTCCGTCATGGCCTTTCCGGTTACCATCAACCTCAGCACGGAGGATGCTTCACGTGCGCCCTGCTGGCGATGGCCAGCACCTAAAGCGATTACAGTCGAGAGCTCTCAAAACCTGATGACAAGATCTGCAAGTACCGGGGAGCCCTCGCTTGGAGACGTCGGCCGTTTCCTGCACACAACATGCAAGCAGGATGCTGTGCAATTTCGAAAACAAGGCCTGTCTTTGAGTATCTGCAAGTCCAGGACCGCCAGCAGGGCATGTGAAATGATGTGCAATACATAGCCTTTGGCACCGAGTCTTCTTCTCCTTTTTCAAGATATTTGGAAGATCTTCGGCAGCTGCTTTGGGTTCAGCTTGCTCTCCCTTTCCACTCGTGCTCCCTCATGGTAGAGCCTAAGCACAGACGACCTTCTCTTCTGCTATCACATGCTGTGACAGCCGCTGGCCTTTGTGACTGTGGCATCAGAGGAATAACTCCACGTGGTTTTCAGCCAGTAGGGCTCCTGTTTACATGGTGCAGAAATCTTCTTAGTGTGTCTCAGCGGCTGAGGCACTGCTGAATGCTCCATTCTTCAGTACAGAATGCTCGCAATCCCACGGTTGCAGTATACATCCCCATTAGGCTCAACCTGTCCTCCTCGTCGTCGCTGGATTCCTGCGGCCACACAAGAGGCCCCATGCCGTAACATGTGACGGCTCGAAATCAGTACACCAAGAAAAGGTGCTGCATTGCTCCAGAAACTCAAGCTGGATCCTTTATGTACTTTCAATCGCTCATTAATCCAAATGCTGCTTTCAAATGCGATGCTGCTTCGGACTTCAGGTTGAGACGAACACGGCAAAGAGTACACTCCACTAGCGATTATAAGTACAACGTGTGTGACGGAAACCTGAGAAGATCATTGACTGCACCGTGAAAGGCAGTGCTGCCAGTGTCGAAAATCCACCCCATCGAAACTCTGAAGGGGACCCTCTTTCATGGAAAGTGCCTCCTCGCAGTACCTGCTCAAACCTGTCCAGCGCCACCCTAAGACTGACAAATCCCTGCAGGCCTCGCTAACACCCCAGCGATTTTGCAGCTGTTCCTCGGACGTTCGCTGCTTCGGGGCACGGGATATCGAATTTGTGCAGTTCCTGGAATTCTGGGATTTGCAAGCGTCTTCGCCACTTCAGATTCAAGCATTGCTCGGGGTCGTCCGATGTGGTAAGGCACCGTCCGCAAAGTACAGCCCGAGCCTTGTAATGCTCTGAAGCAGGACCTCGTAAGTCGCAGTTAGCCTATTACCATGCAACTTCTTTTGGGCTCGAACGATCTTGTGTGGGGTGCTGCTAACCTCTGCCGGGCTTTGCATGTCGGGGCAGAGGCATGCGGACAACTTTTTCAACTGGATGGAGCGCTTGAGCCAGCTCTCGGCCAAAGGCTGGCTGCGAAAACTCTGTGAGAATACGCAGTCTGTACTTGTAACATATGGAGAAAGTCATCTTCACTGCTTTACAGCTCGTCCTCGCAGTGGGTCTTGATGGTGACGTCGGAGGTGGCGTACGTCACACCTGGGCTGTTCTAAGCAGCTTTTGAAGTCATGATGGTCCTTGCTTGTGTATTTGTCAGTACAGATGCATATCGTGTACATGTATAAGTATATATACAAGAATATCATGACGACGAATGAACAAACAAACAAGTAAACAGTTAAAATCAAATTGAAGAAACTAGTAAACAAATATATATATATATATATATATACTTTATGAAAAAAAAACACCTCACTAGAACTGTGAAGTCTTTGTCCTAGACACAGGTCAAGCAGAAGCCCTCGCCGGTCTGGTCATCGTCCAAGAAGGCCTGATCGCTCTGGTCAATCTCGCCCTCCAGGACCTTGCCAGCACAGCTGGAGCAAGAGCCGGCGCGGCAGGAGTAGGGCAGCTCCAAACCCTCCTCCTCAGCCTGGTCCAGGATGTATACGTCCTCAGGGCATTCCTTGGCTGGTCTTTCGCCAGATTGCTCTAAGCGTTTTTGTCAGCACCGCGAATACCATCTGTTCCCGAAATGCCACCTTACATAAGTGATAAGTGGAGTCTAGTGCTGCCAAGATGCAAAGGATTGGGTGCCGTCCGGGGTCTCCAAGGTCACCTTGAAGTGGGCGGGCACACCAGGACGAGCTGGCACCGTGTTGACGATGGCTGGCACATTGCCGGAGGCCAGAGCACCACCCGACAATGCCTGGCAGCCCATGTGAACGCTCTGCTGGGGCGCAACGAAGGTCGGCTGGCTTGGTGCCCAGAAGCTGCGAAGCACGGCAACGCAGCAAGCGGCGGCCACGAGCACTGGCAAGGTGCGACTCTGGGAAGCCATTGCGACCAAACGTCAGCTATTCCCCGGGGCTGCTGTCTAAGGACCCTCCGTGGCTGGAGCAATGGCAATTTGGAACTTCTCACTTGCATCTCACCGGGAGCTTGGAGGCTGAATGCGAATCCAAACGTCCAACGCCAAAGCCACAGGCTAGCCTGAACATCCTGAAAACTTTGGAAGCCGGAGGGCAAGCTGAAATCCGATGTCGTCGTGATCGGACATATCCAGTATGTTGATGTCCATTTGAGAAGTCAGCACCCTTGTGCTGAAGCCTGTCAGGCTCCGTTGGAGCTAAAGCAGATCAGATGAAAGCTGAGCCTCGAAGCAAACAATACCACGTTGGCAAGCCAGGGTCCCAGGGGTCCCAGAACCCAACTGAAGGGAGGGATTTGACAACGACGGCAGTCCTACAGCACCAGACGTCCTCACGAGAATCCAGGTCAGCTGGTGAGCCTATGTTCCGTGCGGTTTCTAGCTTGTCGCCGGTGAGGACCCAGAGCCTCACAGCGTGGAGGTGACGGGAGGCATGATGTGTGGGGAGCTGTAGCGGTGCTGGATCTGCTGGGGGTTCAGAGTTTGATGCTGTGCAGAGGGACTCGCAAATCCGAGAGCCTGTCAACAGACGGTGCCGTAGCATCGTGGAGCTCTGCAATCTCATCGATTCTACCTTACCCATGTAACGCCAGGTCGCTTGATCCCCGCTTTGCGGATATTCTCGATGGTTTCGGGTACCCCGTCCTCCCACATGATTTGCAGCCAACGACAATGCAGCTTGCAGCCAACGAGTAGGAAGCCAAGAGAGGGGGACAAATGACTAGTGCAACCTGTGCAAGCGGACTTCTGCTAGCCTCGCCCATGATACGAAGTTACTAGAAGACGGCCTGGCCCGAATAAAGAACCCTGGACTGACAAACTGTCTGTCAAGCATGCTCTCATACCCCAGACCCAGGAC